ACCCCTCCCTTTGTCCTTTTGTTCAGGCCTTGGAAATCTTAAGGGCGGGCTTGCAGTGTGCAGAGATCCCGTTTGACTAACACATTGACTTTCTTGGATTTGTCTCCAATATTAACAACAGGATGATTTCATATAAGGAGGGGAGGAATGAGTCTGTGAATCCGAATGAATCCAACAATTCCGGGCCTGCCTACCCAAATGCAGAAAGGGCTGGATTGGAGCAGCAAATGCCTGCTGTAGCCAGAAGCAGCCTGTTTCCTAATTGGTCACAGTTCCCACCTGTCTCCCTTCACTCATTTGGGTGACCTCTAGCCTCTCTGGCCACTGGGTGGCTTGAGTTTGTCACCTCTGATTTAAGGCCTCCGTTGAGATAGGTCCTTTCTATATAAAGCCACCGAACTGCCACACTTAACACCTGGTTTGTGCCCTCTTCTCTCCAACATGCCTCAAAGCAAGCTGGAAGCTGGCTTTCCCATTAGCTAAACCTAAGTTCCTAAACTTCAAGATGGGGTGGATGCCTATAATTTTGGCAACTTAGTCGCTAGCTTCTGAGTCTTGGGGACTCATTAAAACAACAACCTGGAATTTCAAGAGAGCAGCCTCTCCGCGGGGATCCTCTCCTTTCACCAAGCCATGTGAACTGAAAACCCGGCGGCATGGATGCCTCACGTTGACCCCAGTGAGGGAGGCAGATTTGCGATAACCAACAAAGGGCTTTTGTTCAGGTTTGCGTCAGGATAGATCAGCTCTCCCTCCATGGCGTGGCCCCGTCCTTCTAGGCTCATCTCCCCTTTCTGCCCCCAAAAGAGCTCTCTCAGCCCTTCCTCCATCAGGGCTCTTTTGGTCCAGTCCGCAGCACCCCACGCCCCCTCCTCCACCCACCCGCCTCTCGGTCTGGAAAACAGCTTTGCACGTTAACCTCCCAGGGGCATTCACTGGCTCTGCAGCGGGGTCCCCAGCCCCACAGGCTGCCAAAATAGGCTCTTTACACTCTGTGGATGGGAGAGAAAAATATGCTTGTTCCGTTGCAACTGTCAAGTAAAGGACGTGCTGAGCTCAGATAGAAATAGCAGCAGGGTCAGGGCAGGGCAAGGCCCCAGCATTTCATTAGCTCGGCCTGGCCCAGGGTGATTAAATGCACACAGCGGTCTATGAATGGGGCCATGGAGGGCAGCGCACTGTGCAAGACAGGAAAATCATTCTTTGGGCGCTGTCAGCTGGCTGAATGAGACTTAATCATCGGGATAATGAGAACCCATTTTCATTGTTTTAATTTGAGGGAAGGAGTGAGAAAGAAGGAACTTTTCCCCCTCTGGGTGAAAAGATGTTCAACTGTGGCCTCGGAGTCCCACATCCTCCACGCCGCTGTTGACTAAGCCCCCCGGGTTGGCTGCTTTTTGCCGCTGGGGTAGAAGAGTGTGTGAGCTCCGAGTTCTTGGGGGTACTTCCCTCAGGCCCTGTGAGCCTGACGGTGGTATGTGTCCTCGGAACAGCGTGTCTGTGCTGGTATCTGTCCCCAGCAGCTGCACCAAAGCAGCATGGACAGAGAGAATCCACCGGGCAAACTTGACTAGGCTCTGCTCTACAAAGTGCTTCCGGCTGTGAGAGGAAGCATGCTTGTGCCTTTATCTTCCCTCTCTTTTATTTTTAAAAATTAGTGGGGGGGGGGGGGCGGGGGGAGGGTGTGTGTGTATGGACATTTCACAGTGTACATGTGGAGGCCGGCAAATGACCTGCAGAAGTCAGTTCTCTCCTCCCACTGTACCCGTTTCAGGGATCAAACTCCGGTCATGAGGCTTGGTGGCAAGTGCCCTTGCCCACTGAACCACCCCACCAGCTCTCTTTAACTTTAACTTTCCTCTCTCTCTCTCTCTCTCTCTCTCTCTCTCTCTCTCTCTCTCTCTCTCTCTCTTAATAAAAGATTGAGTGAATTCAAGTAACCCACTCAGAGGAAACAGAGTTCTGAGTTTCCTGCACCTCATTTGAGGTTCAATCGCCCCAGCGCACTGCAGACAGAGCCCCCGCCCGCTGTGGAGTTTGTCAGAACTTGAACTCTGGGTACAGTACCTGCCTACCATGCACAAAGGCCTGGGTTCAACCCCCGGCTTCACAATGAAAGAAACAAAACTGCACAGAACGGGAACCCAGCCAGCTAGTTGGGATGATCTCTGGTTCCCAAGAAGCAGGAAAGCTAGTCATCGGTTATCACCCATTCAACTTGGTCCTCTTGCTGCTCAAGATCATCCATGTCATATGGACACACGAGTTATTTATTCTCCAACTCCATCCCTCACTTGCTTATTTCTGTGGAAATCCATAATGACCCATCTTCCCAACAAAGTCGTCGTGGGAGACCTGAAACAGGGACACATAACAGAGGTTCCCAACTTAATGTGACTCTCTGGAGAAGGAAGTTGGAGTGGGGTTGATAGCACTGAAGGACACTTAAAAAAAAAAAAAAGATGAAAGTTTGTGAGGGCCAAGGTTGAGAATTTCAACCAAGAACAAAAAAATGGAATTGGGTGGCGTGTTTGAGAGCGGGAAATGTGGTCAGCATGAAGAATCCATGTGGGGAATAAGATTCCCTCAGAGAGTGAGACCAGATGATGTGGGATTGTGAAAGCCAGGCAGAGCTGCTCACCTCTCCCCTGCCCCATCTGTGGTCGTAAAAAGTGATTGTGGTTGCTCTCATTTGTTTTTGTTTTCACCCCCCCCCCCCCACCCCCGCCATGTTCTTCAAAGAGATGGACAGAAAAGAATAGCCTGTGCTCTTTCCTGGAGCTCACAAAGGGAAGCACTCTTTGATGAGCCCAGGTTTTCAGGCCTGGCCTCCAGACCAGTGCTCGTGTGTTCTGTGCGGGCTGCTCAGCTCTACCCCCTGGAAACTATGCAGATCCTCCTTCTGCTTCATACAGGCTTGCTTCCTCTGCCGCTTAGGGGCCGGGTCTCACCGTGTAGCCCAGGCTGGCCGGGAACACCCCTGAGCGCTAGGATTACAGGCACATCCACCATACCCGGCCTCTTTCCTCGAAGACTTGAAAGAATATAGGTGACGCGCTTTACATCTGACGGTGGGCAAGGAATGAATATCTGAAGAAACGGATGAAGCAGGTAAATGGTCCACCTGGCTCCTTTCCAAAGAGAAATACCAGCCTCCTCCTCAGTCGCCATATTCGGCACAGCCAGTGTTCTGAGACCACTGGGCCGCCCATCACACTCAACTACTTAATCTGGCAGGAGCAAGTGTGGTGGTCCCTGTGGCTGCAATCTCCTTGCTGAAGATAGACTCCTTTGCTTCAGGAACTCCCATAGGTCAGAGGGGAAAGCTGAATCTAGATGCAATGTAGCAACCCTAGGATGGGTTTTTCTCACCCCCTGCAAAGCTCTAATTAGCTTGTCCCAAAGAAGAAAGAGAGTGCGGAGTGCAACTTGGAATATCATCTCTTCGTGTCTGTGTTTCTGTTCCAAGAGCTCCAAGCACTTTAAAACGGCTGGAAGTGGGTGCAGTACCGCATCCCTCTCGTACTGGGATCTCGTTGGCTGTGTACTGTCTATAGACACGGTCTCCACACTTTTTCTTTTCTTCTCAGCAACCTAAACTGCTCTGGCAGGGGAGCAGAGTCCCATCCTCAGCACTCACATCAGACAGCTCACCACCTCCTATAACTCCAGCTCCAGGGGATCCACCTGACGCCTCTGGCCTCTGTGGGCCCTGGCACGCACATGCACACACCCGCACACAGACACACGTAATACACATCACTGAAAATAAAGTAAATCTTTGAAAAGAAACCAAACACACTGTAAACGCAAAGTGCTTCTGGCATGCTTACCTTGCTGCCTGGCACAAGCTCGTTGCAGCCTAGGTTGCAAACACACAACCTGCTCGCTTTGCAGCGTGCATGCCACTGTGCCACCCAACGCCAACGAGGGAAACACTCAGCTCACACTCAGGACTGTGCAAGGAGCTGTAGTGTCTTCACTACACATACAGTGTCCTGCTTGTGTAGCAACATAATTAATTTAATTACAGAAGACACAATCTTTTTTATTTTCTTCTCGCTATCCCTCAGCCTGTAAGTATCAAACTAGTATATTAGGATTGTATTGTGTTAGGATGTTTGTTTATTTTTTTGTTTGTTTGGTTGGTTTTTCAAGACAGGCTTTCTCTGTGTAACCCTGGCTGTTCTGGAACTCAATCTGTAGACCAGGCCAACCTGGAACTCAGAGATCTACCTGCCTCTGCCTCCCTGCCTAGTGCTAGAATTAAAGGCGTGCGCCGCCACCAGCCGCCGCCGCCGCCGCCGCCGCCACCACCACCACCACCACCACCACCACTGCCGCCACCACCACCACCACCCATCTGATGGTTGATTTTTTTTTTGTTTTGTTTTGTTTGTTTTCGAGACAGGTTTTCTCTATGTAGCTTTGGAGCCTTTCCTGGAACTTACTCTGTAGACCAGGCTGGCCTCGAACTCACAGAGCCTGGCTCTGCCTCCTGAGTGCTGGGATTAAAGGTGTGTGCCACCACCGCCCAGCGATGTTTGATTTTTTTTTAAAGTTGCTGTTTGAGTTGCTAACTTGAGTTTCATTTAAACAAATTGTTAAATAAATTTTGGCTTGCGATTAGAATAGAATTTCCCGAAAATTCTGAGATGACCCTAAATGTACATCTAGAATTTTGCATTATGTATTTATGTAAAGCAGTATTCTCAGCATTGACAATTATAAAATCAAATTAACTCTGAAAAATGTTGAAAATGCTGTATGTCCTGCAGGATCAAATACTCAGCCAACACTTAATGTTTATGTAAATAAATGTATCCATCTCATTAACATGCAGGTTTGCTGTCATCTTTAATAAATGGTAAATTACATGTCTATTAAAGAATTTTTGAATGTGTATGTGTTTGTGCATATGTGTGCATGTCTGTGTGCGTGTAAAGGAAGGTCAGAGGATCACTTCAGACATTCCTAAGAATACTATCTACCTCCTTTGATACCACGTCTCTTGTTGGTCTGGAGCTCGCAAACTGGGTTAGGTCATCTGGCCTGCAAGCCCTACAGATGAATCCTCCTGCTTCTGCCTCTGCAGTACCGGGAGTCTATAAGTGCACCACATGCCCATATCTTTACTCAGTTCCTTCTGTTCGCAAGGCAAGTATTTTATCAATGGAGCTGTCCCTGGGGTCACCAGAGAATTGTTTTAAAATGAATCTCTTTAGTTTTTTATTATCAGTAAATGTTTGAATTATAGAGCACTTTCATATTGCTATATACCTGAAGGCACATAAAAACTTCTTGGGTGAGGAAGGGATACCCAATGGGGGAAAAATGAGATGCCCTGCTTTACCAGACGGATTTCTGACGTGTTAGTATTGGTTTAAAGGGAGCATTCCTGCTCAATCACAGCCCATCTTTCATTTTCATCTCCAGTTGTTCCTTTTTTTTTTTTTAACCAAATTAAACTTCCTGTAGCGTCTTCTTTTGATATTAGCGGTTTTTAATGAAAATTGTACATGAGATTACTTCATTCTTCTATCTTCTCGGTCCTTCCTGCCTTGTGTTTGCCTTTTTCTACTTCTACCAGTCAAGGTCTGGCTTTCCACTCATGTGTCTGTTCGTGGTCTTTGTCCAGTTTTGACCTAATGATAACCACCTTGCTGGGGTGACTGTCCCCGTAGACGACCATACCATGAGCCTTGTTCCTGCTGTCCTTGTTCAGCGTAGATGTCACATTTCTCTCTGTGAAGCTGAGTTGTTTTGCTAGCCTGTCGGCTCTTAGAAATTTCAACATGAACTTTGTCATCCTTTTGGACGGGCCTGGGTTGAAAACCATGCTTCTGTCTTGATGTCCCACAATCTTGTGAATGAGAGAAGGTATCTTGAAATACCTCTTATAGTTCTTGCCTTAGTCAGAAGTCACAAAGAGACTGAACCTCATTATGGCCACCATCATGTCACCCAGGTCCACGAATGAGAAGACAACTCATTGCTCCGCATGGAAACTCTTCCTCTGTACTTGCTACTCCAGCTAACTGGGGTGTGTTTTTCCTCTTCTCAACTTTAGCCCAAGGTAAACCTTTTTGACACTTGTTTCTCTTAAGCCTGAGATCAACGGTGTGTTCTTTCAAAAACCAGAAAGAAAACACTTTCAGCTTCGAGAGTCATGCTGTCAGTGTAAGATGTCCTGCCGCTGTGACTAAACACCTGACCTGAACGACTTCAGGGAGGAGACGTTTATCTTGCTCATCATTTGAGAAGTTCCAGTCCATCGTGGCACAAAAGACAGGACAGGACAATGAAGAGCAGCTTGCCTCAAGGCAGCCAGGAAGCTGAGACAGAGAATTACCTTCCTTGCCCCGACCTGCTATTTGGGTTTTGTTTGTTTCTTTGTTTGTTTTGCTTTGTTTTTTTGAGACAGGGTCTCACCATCTAACTCTGGCTGCCCTGAAATTCATTATGTAGACCAGGCTGGCTAGGAACTCACAGAGACCCTCCTGTCTCTGCCTCCAAAGTGCTGGGATTAGGGTGTAAGCCACCATGCCCAGACTCTGGTTTAGTTTTTTTGAGACAAGGTCTTGCTATGATTCCCTGGCTGGAACTCAGTGCAGAGCATGTTGTCCTCAACCCAAGACGACACTCTTAACCTCTGCCTCCTGAGTCCTACCCTTCTTTGATTGCATGGGAGCACCCAGGCTGAGACGGTGCCACCCACATTCATGGCAAGTCTGCCTCCTCATCTACTCTTCTCTGGAACCACCCTCACAGAGGGAAGCACCTCGAAGTTTCCTTTACTAATTTCCCAAGCCTTTTCAATCGAACCAAGCCTGACAGTCAAGATGAGTCCTTCCGCTGTCTCCGTCGCTGTGACTCAGTTCTGCCACTGTGGTGCAGAAACAGCCATGGCCAGCACACAAACAAATGAAACAAATGAGCTTGTCTGTGTTCCAATCAAACTTGCTTTACAAAAGTAGAACACGAGCTGGATTTGGCCCGAGGACCACATTCTGCTAACCACTGCCCAACCGTGACTCTCCTACTTCCCAGTCTCTTTCTCCATGGTTATCTACTTATAGCTCCTCTGTCCCGAAAGGCTGAATCTCCTGAAGTTAACCTTTGCTCCTAGATCTCCCCAGATCTCTAGGACTGAGAAGTTGTTCAATGAAGGCAATTGGTTGAATATCAGGATTGTCACAGTGAAGCGGCTTCCTCTGGACCTAACATGACCATCTCACATGGCAGAGCAGATGATGTGGTAATGCACAGAATACCTTGGCCCTGTGTTCGTGGTAAAGAAATGAGTGAAGACCATGGCAGTAGCCAGGTCTATGGAAATAGGAATGAGGTGGTTAAAAATTCCCCACGAGAGGAAGAGACAGGTCACCAGAGCATCTCCTGAGATTCTGTCTACCATGCTCGTCTGTCCCCAACTCCCCGCTTCACATTCCCCCAACTTGGAATGCCTGCTTCAAACCCTCCCCTTTGCACAGAGCCCTCTTCGCACGCTCCTGTAACCCAGTACACACCTTGGCTCACCAGCCTAGACTTGAATGGAATGATTTCTATGATCTGTCAGTGCCTGATCATTCCAGAAAAGTGTAAGGCAATCAGAACTGTCATTGTGACCCTGGCAGAAAAAATAAAAAGTGGACAAAATTTTTCCACTAGGTATGAGATGGATCAACTTAATTCTGTTGTCTAAAATGAACAGTTATATGAAAATCCTGACAGGTGAGCCCAGAGAGTTTGGAGCGTCTTTCTAACGGGGCAGTCAGCATCCTGCCTCCCTGCTCACCATGCTTGTCTGCCCATCATGTTTCAGCCCACAGCTTCCATAGAACCCCCAGCATCCCTTCATTTTCAGTCCCATAGCTACAGGTGAGAACAACTCTTCCAGGTATTCACAGAGTGCTTTGTGGTGGTCAAAGTACACAAATCTTATTTCATAGATAAGGCAATGCAAGCGCATTAAAGGACTTGCTTTGATTGACATTGCTGGGACTTCTGACTCCCACCCAAGGGCTCTTTTCATTAGACCAGGCAGGCCCCCAGGCATCAGAATGAAACAGCCCAGTGACACTTAAAACTAGGGGCTGCAGAGATGGCTCGTCTGTTTACAGCACTTGCTGTCCTTCCAGTGACCTAGGTTCAATCCCCAGCACCCACATGGTAGCTGACCATACCTATAACTCCAGTTCCTGGGGATCCATACTATCTTCTAGCCTCCTTATATACTTCCTGTGTACCTGGTAACAGACATACATGTGGGCAAAACACTATCTATACACATACATAAAATTTAAAATTAAAAAGAAAAAGAAACTGAAACAATAAATCAATCCCATTTGGAATATTCCAAGGAGACCTTGGAATGTATAGGAGAATTTGGGTGGTATTTGCTAGTGTGGCCCAGTAGAAGAATAGACACCTTCACAAACTTTGCACAAGGTATATACTTCTCAAAATCGTATCAACTAGCCTCCATTTATCTTGGAAATACAAAACTCTAGACTAGAACTTGGCTTGAACGAAGAGATTCACACCAAGCTTGAGTCCCTACCACTCTTGTAAAATTGTTTCAGGCTCCCCAGTGAAGACCTCACTGTTCTGCTTGAGACCATGGAGGCCGCCTTCACACGCTTCTTGCCAGTGGAAGGTTAGCACTGACTTAGAAGCAAGAGAGCCACCGACCCCATCACCACCACTTACGACAGCCTATGCTCTGTGTTCCTTGGAAACCTCCCGCCTCAGTTTGGGCTTGACCCAACCCACTTAGAAGGAGGAGAGCAATTTTACAGCCCCGCCTGGAGTGACTCCAAGCCAGCGGATCCATTTCCAAGTGATCTGACGCAGCAAGCGGATCAGGTTTCCCTTGGAAGCTTGGCTGAGAATAGTCGGGCTGGCAGGCCTGAACCAGAGTGAATAAAATGACTGTCAAGAAAAATCCCAAATGGCCTCTAAGGAGGGAGGACTAATGAAATGCTTAGGTCAGAGGTGGGGTGCTTTCTGGGGAGACTGCAAAAAGAAAGGAAGATGAGGTGACCATGTGTGAAATTTGCAAGAGTCAACAATGATGGAGGATGCCAGCCACGCTGGCACACGCCCAGAACTTTCCCAAGAGCGGGCGCCCAGCCTGAAATAACTCACAACAAAAATCCAACTCTTAATCTGAATCTTACCTTTAGTCAGAACTTTTATTGGAATTTCTTGTGGTTGGTTACCTGTCCACCTTGCCCCTATCCTGCCAAAGTCGGCCGTGATTCTAAGTGACTTTGCCAAAGACCAACAAAGCCCTGGATTCAATTATTCTTGTCTCGGGGAATAGAAATTAGGGAATTCCAGGAACGGGGTGTGGGAACAACTGAGAAGTTAGGCTTCACTTAAGATCCTTGAAAAGAAATCAATGCCCTGTTGTTGGGATGAAAACAGAATTGGTTCTGCACAGGTCATTTGAAAGGATAAGCCAAGCTATGGAACCAGCTCCCAGCCCGATGCCTTTCTGCTCAGAATGATAAGAGCAGATCTTTGACCATCAGATCCCACAGGCACGTGTCTGGCTCTTTGTTCTCTTCTTTGGCTATACAGGGATATTTTCAAGGGCAAAGACATAATGACAAAGTTGTTTTTCCTGAGCAAGAGGTGTCCTTCACGGGTCCTCCTCTTTCCATCCGAACAGTATGGCCATTGAATGTGGTGGCAGCAAACAGCTGTCACTTCCCTTTGCCGCATGCCCCTGACAGTCAGTGGGCCTATTTCAGGCCTACTGTGTGCCAGCCATTGTCTCAGAATGGAGCCAGACTGTCCTTGCCCTTGGTATCTTGGCTGTTCCTCTGGGAAGGTGGTGTTGGAGGCACCTGGGGCAGAAATGGTGTGAAAAACACTGGAGGAAAGGAGACACCAGAGTAGACATGGGAGTGGAAGAGGCCACGCCTAACATCTTCCTTCTTCACTTAGGAACCCCACACCAATTTCCCAAATATTTGTTTTCCATTTGCTAGTCACACAGGCTTGGGGTTCAACAGGAAGTAGAATATGGGATGCAGAAAAGGATATGGGCAGAGGGCTAGTGTAGCTTTAGTAGGTAGAGTGCTTGCCCAGCATGCATGAAGCCTTGGGTTGGATCCTCAGCACTGCATGAACCATGTGCTGGTGCAAGCACGTGGATAACCCCAGGATCTGGAAGAGGAGAGAAGCAAGATGATCCAAAGTTCAAAGGTCATCCTTGGCTATGTAGTGGCTCTGAGGTCAGCACCTGGGCTACATGAAACTCTGTCTCACACCAAAAGCAGAGCTGGAGAGATGGCTCAGAAGTTAAGAGCATTGTCTGTCTTTCAAAAGGACTCGAGTTCGATTCCTGGTACCCACATGGTGGCTCACAACTGCCTGTGATTCCAGTTCCACGGAATCCAACACCCTCTTCTGGCTTCTGTGAGCACTAGCCGGGCACACACATGGTTCACAGACATATGTGCAGACAAAACACCAAACATCCCCCTACACACACACACACACAGACACACACAGACACACATATACATACACACACAGACACACGCATGCGCGCGCGCGCGCGCGCGCACACACACACACACACACACACACACACACACACACACACACACAAGCAAAGAAGAAGACAAAGAGGAAAGGGATTGTGGGCAGGGAAGCAGCAATGTGGAAGGAGGCTGTACAGACTGGATCAAGTGTGTTAGGTTATTAGGCTTTGTTGGTCAAGCCAGGCTTGTCCTCTGCCCTTTAGATAACAGTTCCTTTGTGTCATTCTGCAGTGTATAGATAGATGCCCACCCTGCTCCACTATTCCCTACCCATTTTACTTGCGCATCTGTTTGTTTCTGCTGGTGCCACAACTGGGGCGTAAACTACGTGAGGACAGGAACTCTTGCAGTCCTGGGCACCTTAAGATCACCAGTTTTGAGCACAAATAGCTACTGCATTTAAACAACTGTCTCCAGTTTGCGGAGTAGAGGGAGAACCGAGATGGGGAGATCCCAGAGGAGGGATCCGTCGCAGCAGAGAGGCGTTACAAGCCAAATCCAGGTCTATGGTGACGTACGTGAAAAGGACAGATGTTAGCCAAGGAGAGCCATGGCCAGAGTGGCTTTAGGGTTTCTCCATTTGGGTGTCGGCAGGATGGCGATTTTGTTGACTGAGATAGAAAAGACAGGGGAAGAGCGTGACGAGGAGCCAGCCTGTCATGGGAAGCAAGGATCGGGATAGTAAATCTGTTTTGGACTTGTGTGATGTGAGGAAAGCACAGAATGTCCAGCTGGAGGTGTCCAGTAGGCATTTGGAACTATATGTGGGAAGTTCAGGAAGATGCCTGGGCCTGAATGGGTCACAGAGTTTGGGTGATAAATGAAGCCAGCAGAGGGTAATTAGGTCACTCGAGAAGAGCAAACATATTTGAAAGAGAAAACAGAAGCCCAAACCTAGAGAAAATACTGATGGGGCAACAGTAAGGGAAGCTGGGGAGGAAATGGAGGGAGAGGTCTGAGAGGCAGGAGGAGGAGAAAGGAGACAGACTTCCAGCTTCTGTTGACAACAGGTCAGAGCAAAGGCCAGCGGGTATAGGAGCCGCCACCCCGGGTGAGCAGTCCGCCCAGTTCTTAGCATGCCACTGTTACTAGGGAGAACTTAGCAGTTCTGAGCCACGAGACAAACAGAACCCAACTGTGTTGAGCCCATCAGGACTTGCTCCATCGACCATTCTTAGGTGCCATTGAGTACTGAAAATTCTACCTATGTGAGGAAGTCCTCAGCTGGACAACACTGACAGCTCCTGTCTCTCCTTGCCTCGTACCATCACGCAAGGACCACACCGGAGCTTGGAGAACGGCCCATATGTGGAGATCTGGGTCCAGGTTCCAGGAGGAGTGTTAGATGCTTCTGGGGCTGGTCCTCATGTCAGTACCGATCCAGGCCTCTCTTTAGGTTAGTCTCTTTCCTCAGCATCCCCTGCCACATCCGGTCCATCTCCAGAGACAGCTCCGTCTGCCTTCCTTCTTGCCACACGCTAATACCTTCCACATCCTGTCCACGCACCACCAGGCGAAATGATGTCTACCCTTACTGTGGTCACGGAAATAGACACAGAAATGGCATGAAAACTTACAGAGAAGATGGTACAGAAAACGTATCACCAGGAAGATGGGTTAGCCGAAGTGGGGAGAGCTGGAGTCTAGGCACCCACTCACTCACTCCACAGAGCTCTGAAGCCAAGTATCTGTGGTGAACCATGGAGGCAGGGGAAGTATCCTGATCCCCTATCATTTTTCCCCCTTGGTGTATGTGGGTCCCTTCTAGCTGACATTCTCTGAGGGACAGGGGACCGGTCACCTGTGTCATGTTCTCCCTCCCTCGGAAAGAACAGGCCAGGCTGGAGCAAAGCATATTGAGACACCCTGACAGAGAACACTCCCTGGCCTCCCTGGTCTCGGTGTCCGAGACTAAATCACTCTGCCCTTCAGGTCATTGGTAAGGATGGAGTCCTTTACACTGCCCGGGCTGGCCAGGACTACTTAGGGAAAGGGATGTACAAGACACAGTCACTCTACCAAACCAACCCAAAGTCAAACCCCAGCAGAGACCCCACCACTAAATACACACAAGAAACTCAACTTAGGGGTCCTGCTTTGGAGGCTCAGTAAGGCTGCTAGAGACAGATGCGGGGAGTAATTCTCTGAAGCCAGAAGTGTTTTGCTCTCTTCTCATTGCTGGTCTAGGCGGTCTGCTGGCCTGCCTTCCAACTTGCGGCCCCTTCTCCAGTGCCCATCACCCCTGCTGGGATGGTCCTGCTCTTCCTCTGGGACTCCCCCCACTTCCAGCCCAGCCCAGCCCAGCCCAGCCCAGCCCAGCCCAGGCCAGCCTTGCTGCATACTCCCACTCAGGCTCCTGCGTCAGTCACTGCTATTCATCTCCTTTAGAGCCGGGCTTGGCCACAGATGCTGTCAATATGGTAACTTTAGACTCCCTGATTGGGAAGGGTTGCAAGGCCAGTCAGACAGCCCATGGAAAAGAGCAGCTTTGAGCTGGTTCTGACCCCCCCACCCTTCTTCTCCAAGCTGTGTTCAGAACAGAGGGGAAGAGAGAGGGACTGGGCTGTGTATCTAGGTACTAACTACTAGGTTGGCTCACACTGCAAGGCAGCTGAGAAGCCAGAGATGCAGGGAAGGGGCATTGATGGGGCAAGACAATGCTCAGGGCTGGAGACAGCCTGGATTATCCTCCTACCCGGGGCCATGGTGGGGGCACGCTGGGGGTGAAGGGGAGATGCCTGAGACCCCCTGACCCCTCTGAGCTCCCTTTCTTTCTTTTCTCTCCTGAGCTCCCCCATAGGGGGCTGTCACTCCCCAGGGGACTTCTGGGAATTCCCAGGGTTGTTAGCTACCCACCCCCCCCACTACACCTCTTCCAGTGCTTAAAGACTTCATTTGCATTGGGTTTCAGAGCTCCTAAGCTATCTAAAAATTCAAATCTCCGAGAAGCTTCTCAGGCTAAAGATTCAGGCTCTAGGAGTTGGGGGAGGTGGGAAGTTTGAGCTCCAGAGTTATCAGATCAAAGTGCCACCAGAGATGCTCCTGGCCACCTGTGCCACTTCCTCAGAATCGGTACTAAATTCAAGGCTCTTGACCCATGACTTGGTTGGACTTGGGACATGAACACTGAGGGAAGGGAAGACCTTGATTTATTTGAACCCAAACCCTCATTTGACCGGTGAGAAGTGGTTTGTGCTGAATCACCAGTCCTTATAAAAAAGGTTAGTCCATATCTGGGGCTTAATCTATGTGCCAGAAACATTTTTATAGAAGGATCCAGAAGAAGAAAGAGGTCTAATAGGTATGTCTTTGCTCCCAAGTCTTGGATGAAACTAGGGTGGAATCCTGCTGTTCTCCCTGCTGAGAGATGTTGGGCTCGTGTTCCGTTGCCTCTGACAGGCAGCTTGCCACCAAAAGGCAGCTGAGTCAAACTCTGGCTGGCTCTGACCATTATCCAACAACTCTTTATTGCTGCACAGTCCCCTGTGGACACCAGCATCTGTTTCCGACCTGGCGGGGGTGGGGTGGGGTGGGGGACTAGGGGAACTCGGATAGAATGCAGGGATTGTCCTGCTGCAGGAAGAGACACTCCTGAGGGTGAAGGAGGAGGCTTCAACTCCCTTCTCATGTCCAAGTGCTCCAGTCTGTACAGTTACAGGGTGCTCCTTCCATTCACAGTCACAGGGTGCCCCCTTCCATTCAGTCACAGGGTGCTCCCTTCCATTCATAGTCTCAGGGTGCTCCTTCCATTCACAGTCACAGAGTGCTCCTTCCATTCACAGCTACAGGATGTGCCCTTCCATTCACAGTCACAGGGTGCTCCCTTCCATTCACAGTCACAGGGTGCTCCCTTCCATTCACAGTCTCAGGGTGCTCCTTCCATTCACAGTCACAGAGTGCTCCTTCCATTCATAGTCACAGAGTGCTCCTTCCATTCACAGTCACAGGGTGCTCCCTTCCATTCACAGTCACAGGGTGCTCCCTTCCATTCACAGTCTCAGGGTGCTCCTTCCATTCACAGTCACAGAGTGCTCCTTCCATTCATAGTCACAGAGTGCTCCTTCCATTCACAGTCACAGGGTGCTCCTTCCATTCACAGTCACAGGGTGCTCCTTCCATTCACAGTCACAGGGTGCTCCCTTCCATTTACAGTCACAGGGTGCTCCTTCCACTTACAGTCACAGGGTGCTCCCTTCCATTCACAGTCACAGGGTGCTCCCTTCCATTCATAGGCTCAGGGTGCTCCTTCCATTCACAGTCACAGAGTGCTCCTTCCATTCACAGTCTCAGGGTGCTCCTTCCATTCACAGTCACAGAGTGCTCCTTCCATTCACAGTCACAGGGTGCTCCTTCCAATCACAGTCACAAGATGCTCCCTTCCATTCACAGTCACAGAGTGCTCCTTCCGTTCACAATCATAGAGTGCTCCCTTCCATTCACAGTCACAGAGTGCTCCCTTCCATTCACAGTCACAGGGTGCTCCCTTCCATTCACAGTCACAGGGTGCTCCCTTCCATTCACAGTCACAGGGTGCTCCCTTCCATTCACAATCATAGGGTGCTCCTTCCATTCACAGTCTTAGGGTGCTCCCTTCCATGCATAGTACAGTCCCTTCCTTGTACAATCACAGGTGCTCCCTTTTGGTCCTAAATGTGCCAGGCACCACAGACTTGCTTTTTTTTTTCTTCCTAAACATATGGACACAAGGACATTTGACTCACTTTTTAAAACGAGCAACCTTTTCCTACGGCATTAACAGGACTTCAGTGTATGGACCCTTCTGGCAGTTGTCTGCAGATTATCTGTAGGGCGAGTGTAAGTGATTATTCATGGATTCTTTTATGCTAAAGCTGCACGACAGTGAGACTTTGCTCTTGGGACTAATTTGGGTGGCATTCTGTGGAACCCAGGGCACTCCAGAAAGATAGTCTTAGCACCTCCACCCTAGAGAGGCCATCAGAATCCCAGCCAATGAAATCTTTCCTAGAAGAGGTGTGCCAGTTCTACTTTTAAAAATGAATGTGCCTTCCAGCATAAACAGCACTCGGCCTGTTGGAGTGAAAATGGATGTTGTTGTAATGCTTGGAGACAGTTTGTTCTTTTAGAGGATTTACAACTTCCCCTGGAAATATTGTTCCTCAGTCTTTGCTAAGCACCTCTCTCTATTGTGATATGGGATTCCCGCTCAGCCAGCCCAGATGAGTCAACCCTCGGCAAACTTTGTCCATGCTCAATCCATCAATAACCCAGCCGAGATGAGTGCTCTAAAGAGCCAAAGGGAAGGAGGGGGCAGGGTTTCTGGAGAGATGGGAAAATAACAGCAAACTAGCGAAGACATTTTTCAAAACTCATGACAAAGAGTCGTTGATAATCAAGATGCAAAGTCGATAGACAATGAAATGGTATTGAGAGTATGCTCGTGGTGACGGAGAAAGCAGGATGTCATAGAGACTACATACAACAGGAGTTCCAAACCATCTTACCATCTCAATGCATGCACAGTTTCCATAACCTCCTATACCACTGCCACCGTTGACCGTGACAGTGAAGGTCTTCCATGTCATCAAGGAAAGGCTGAGACCTGTGTGGATCCCTGGAGGATGCTGTTGCTATCGTCCACCTTATGGATGTTTGGGGCACATAATGACATAAGTTGATATGATTAAAATAATCGCTTCTCCTAAACAAAGCTTGTTTCTGCGTGTGATGGCTTTTGACAATGCACCCCAGGCTGGAGAGATGACTCAGCTGTTAAAGGCTAGGCTCACAACCAAAAAGATAAGGACAGTGCACTCCACTACCCCGAATATTTGGCCTGGTAAAATATCTTCCCTGCACCCCCACCTACCTATCCCTAGACCCCCCCTCGTGCTGTGCTGGGTCTGCCCACAGATCTGCTTCCACTCGCCCTCTTGGTTCTTGACCCCAGATCACTGTTTTAACCGGGCCAATCCTTTCTTTTCATTCTTCCACCAACAAATTAAGCACTCATGCTCTGGCCTGGCAGTGCCCAGAGCCTGCTTCCCCAAGACCATTCCAGCCTCACGCCTTGCATGAAGTTCAGGGAGCAAATCTGCCACTCCACGGAATAATGCTCGGGGAGTTCTTGCCGCCATCATTAATATTTTATCACCTTCCTCCTGGCCTTTGCTCAGGCCATTTCTCCTCCTCCATCTCTGCCTGGCCATACCCCACCTCCTTTACAAGCCTGACTGCCTCAGTTTCCCATGTGTCTAATGTCAGACATAGTCTTCTATCCAACTAGCTCATGTTATTTATGTCCAAGATTGATCTCTCTTTCCAGAATGAAAACATCTCCAAGCTAAGAGCTTTCTCTCACACATATTTAATAACCCATGAGCACCTGTATGTATTTAGCAAGTGCTTAGGCCAGACTGTGGTCTTAATAAACATAATGCTAATGGTTATTCTACTTTGTCAGCATCCCCCATGTACATCTTGACAAGCCAATAGTGCTATCCTTAGTTCCAATTTTATGGAGTGAGAAGTGGGGATTGAAGAATTTTCAGTGGACAGAGACATGGGTAATGAGTAATGGAACCATGATTTGAACCCAGGTCTGTCTGCTCCAGAATTTGAATTCATAACAGCCCTGTTATACCCCTCATAAAGACAAGGACTGAGTCTTTTCCTACGTTGGAGTTGTGAATTAGCCACCCGAGGGCCAATTCTGGCCCATGCATATGTTTAGTTTGGCTTGTGCAGTTTTTTTTTTTTTTTCTTTCAGGAAATTGTGCATCACCATCTAGATTTATAGCTTCTTTGGAAAGCCTGAGAGATCCAGTAACCCTGAATCTCAGCTTGGTGGTGCTGGGCTGCTGCCGAGAAACAGCTGTCTGGCTTTACCACAGCCCTTTCTCATGTGGCCAGGGAAGAGTGGGAGCCTTGGGGGTTCCGTCTTCTCTAGTCTACAGTCCAGATGAGTGCCCTTCCCCAGGTGTTGCCATCACACATGCCAATGTGTGACCTGGACTGGACTCCCGGCGCTGCCAGACACTCCATCCTTTGGTTAAGCCCATGCTTGCATCCTGCAATATGAGCGTGGAACATCTCTCCAAGCCCCCACACTCCTCTTCCTGGCTCTCAGCACATTGCTGTCTTTAGCTGTACTAGGAAGGGTAAGTTCAACAATTCTTCATTTTCTAGGACTGCCCCACATGTTGCTGAGGAGCTAGCAATCCTGCCCTACACCACCGTCCCGCCCCCAATCAACAGCACTGTTCCCCAGTCACCCCGACAATCAAACACACTCCAAACATGTCCCAAGTTCCCAAGTTCTAGGGCATCATTGTATCCACTGTTGAAAGCTGATGGCTGATAACCACTTGTCTCCCCTGAGTTAAGGCACACAGTAGAGCCTCCATTAAATAGATTCAAAGGACCAGAATGCAACATCCATTGCTGAATGGTTTCTGCTTGTCAAAAGTTCCCAGGAAAACAAAGACAGGAAAATGCAACAATCATAGCACTCTCAAAAATAAATTATCTGAAGCAAATTTAGTGCATTCCCTTAAACACCTGTTCCAAATGGGGGGAAGTTGGTAATAATGCGTTCCCTTTGAAGCATTTCCATTCTGCACGCCTCGGTTCCCACTGTGATGTTAATTGGTTGTGGTTTTCTTTACTTCTAGTCCTTAGACATAATGAGAGTTACTGTGTAGATGTCTGCCCAGCAGCACCCCAAGGAAGGCTTCATTTAATGGAATGCCGAGAGAAACAGAATCACCTGCGGCTTTCCCATGGAGAAATGCTGTTACGGTATTTTTTTTTTCATCTTCATTTTAATTATATATACTACAGTACAACAGTAGAGAATCCCTATGATAGCAAAGTACTACGAATAAGTAAGAAGGTAAAGAATGTTTAATTTTGGCATACTTTTCTCCTGTCTTTTCTCCTTTATAAATGCATATTCAGGATTGTCGTTGCAGATTCTGTTTTGCTTCTAGCAAAATTGGAGTCGTACTGCATCCAAAAATCACCCAGGCCACCTCACAGCTGCTCCCTAATCTATTTGACCAATCGTCTTCTGTTGGAAAAAAAAATGGTTACTTCACAGTTTATGCTTTTACAGGATGTACAGCGATCAAGTTCCTTATTCATAAATCCTTTTAGGTCATTCTGATCATTTCTTTAGAAAGGATAATTTAGCAGCCAGCACAGGAAGAAATCATCTCCACTGGGGAGGTGGCACTGGCTCTGATCCTGGAAGAGAAGGGTGGGGCACGCAGTAGTGAGGTGTGGATAAAGAATGTCCAGGCACAGAGATCTCGTAATTGTTGAACTTACCCTTCCCAGTACAGCTGAAGACAGCAATGTGCTGAGAGCCAGGAAGAGGAGTGTGGGGGCTTGGAGAGACGTTCGACGCTCATATTGCAGGATGCAAGCATGGGCTTAACCAAAGGATGGAGTGTCTGGCAGTGCTGGGAGCCCAGTCCAGGTCACACATTGGCACAGACTCTCTCCTGTGAGGCTGGGAGACAAAAGCAGAGGTGGATGGAGGCAGGAGAGTAAGATTACTTCAGATTTGGGAAATGGCCTTGACAGAGCCAGCCAAAGGTCAGAGGAACTGGCGTGGATGAGCCTCATGAAATCCTTCCCCACCCAAAATCAGATTACTGTAACACATCAGTACAGAGCCTCCATGACCTACCGGAGAAATTAACTTCGTCCCCGACCTTGGCCTTACAGACTCCCTGGAAGCAGGACACAGTCCTGAGTTATGTTTCTGCTACCATGAAAAGATGAATGCTTTCTATAACAAATCAGAGTTCACCAATGCTTTACGTAAAGTCCGGTTTCCGGGCATAGATGGTACCCAAGCTATCTTCCCATTTTGCTGAAGGGAAAACTAAGGCCCCAAAAGGGTGATTTCTACCCATTGAAGGTTTCAGAATAGCTCCCTCTGCTGACCTGACCTGAGGTTAAGTCCTGAATTCCTTTCCCATCTTAGCATTTACGGTAGGCTCCATTTTCACGTTTCCGCTTTGTTTTCTCCAACAGAGTAAGTGAACAAGACAAGACCTGTTTTGCAGGACAGCTCTTAGTTGTCATGGGACCTTTCTCTTCAATTGCGTTGCTACAGAATTATCTATTGGCCCATTCGCTCATTCCCCAGCCCTCACCCCCTTCCCCAACTCCTGTTATTTGGTGTGGGAAGTCCACTGGGTGGGTGCCTAGTGTTGTGCCCAATGTTCGGATTCACACAGATTTCAAATATAAAATTCTATCCACACTAGAGCCACCTTGGGCACCCCTGATGCCCCGAAGACTTTCTGCTCCTTACTTAATGTGGTCTCTTCCTTCCTGGGGCTTGCTCTGGCCCTCCCTTGGAGCATAAGCTCTCCTAACTACTCACTGTGATCCCCCTCCCACACCGTGGATCCCTTCTAGATGGTTCCTAAAAGCTACAGTCAGTCCGGAGGATTCCACTTCAGGGTATGTGGATCATTCCAGGGAGCACACAGGCCGAGCAAGGAGAGGAAGGGGGAGGTACTCTGTGCTGAGTGACAGGTGTGGGGGGAGGGTGTCAGAAGGGAAGGAAGTAAAGGGAGAACTCTTAGCCAAGAGGGGACCACAGCAGGTGGAGAAGAGGGAAGTCAGAGTGGGAAGGAGGGTGTGTGGCAGCTGAAAAGCCAAAGTTCCAGGAGGTCTAGGAGAAAGGTTTTGCTGTAAAGCACTACATGGGAACCAACCCCTTCCTCCTCCCCCCTCCTCCCCTCTCCCTCCTCCCCTCTCCCCCATCACCCCCTTTTTCTCCCCCCTGCTCTGCTCCCCCTCCACACTCTCCAAAGTCCAGAAGGGCCTGGTGGCTTTTCCAGGCACATGCTATTTTGAATGCAAATCTGACTAGAGGTCATCCTCAAGTTAGGGCTGGTTCCATTTGTGCAGATTACAAGCACATTGTCAATGTCACTGTCCTGTAATGTCCTGAACCACAGTCACGGGCCAGACTCTAGAGATGTCCTGTACAAGGGCTCATCATTAACTTTCAGTCTTATGGTCTACAACCACTGGGAGTCTCACTGTCCCCCTGGTAAGCTACATACAGGATAGACAGATGGTTTATTGGGCACTTTCTGGCCCTCTAATCTGTGACATTCTCAGATGTCCCCTGCATCTGTCCCTCTTCTTCCTCCTAGGTTCCCAAGCCTCCACTCAGAGAGCCTTCATTACCTCCAAGAGGTCTTTGCTGGTCTTCTTATCTCTCCCTTGGGACCTTTTCATCCGGTCCCTGGCTAGGGGCATCACCTTGATGTAAGAGAGTTTGCTGTAGAATCAACTAGATGTAAATTCCTTTTTAACATGAGAAGTCGAGATTAAAACTCCTTGAATCCTGCATAGATTACTACAGTGTTTTGCACACGGAGTTTCTAAATGGTTGCTGACTAAATAGACTTGCCAGAGCAAGCGCGCCCCCTCCACCACCGCTGCCATGGCGCCCCCCACCCCCACCCCGACCCGAGGTTGCCCACGGAAAGAGCTGGGAAAGGAGGGGGCAAATCTACATGCCCACTCTTTTGAGCCTACACACCAACTCAAGCAGCCTTGCTGAATTAGTATCGCCCTCAGCAGGCGGGCGCTCCCCTTCCCATACTCCTTGTTATATGCAAAACAACGGGAAAGGTACCTGGCCGTTCTTTGCATTTCCTGCTTTTCAATTGAGTGAGGACAGACAGATGATTTATTGGGCATTTCCTAGCCTCCCTCTCACCATAGGAAACCAGCCTTTAAAAAAAAAAAGGTGCAAATTCTAAAAAGATGTGCAAATGTTTTAGGGACTGGAGAGGAATTCTTCTGTACCATGAAAGTAAAAGAAAGAAGTCTCTGACAGCGGGACCTCTGATCCAGGGCACGCTGACCATAAATTAGTGTCTCCCTTTGAGAGCTCAAAGCGCTCAGGGCCTGGCTGAGAAGTTGTCAGGCAAGGCTGGTAGAGCTGTGACGTTTTGGCCTCCTTCTCTGCTCCAGGAGCGCAAGCTTGGGCTGAGACAGTGGCGGCGACCTTCATAACCTATTGGTTTGGGTTGGAAACTGACATCTGCACCCCATTCACCACCCTTGAGAGAGAGCCAGGGAGAAGGCCACGAAGGGGGCGCTGGGCAGCTGGCAAGCCCAACTCTGCAGTGACCTCCGTTCCACCCTGCAACTAGTTACATTCATTTCCTAGGACTGCCCTGGCGAAGGACCACAGAATAGGTGGCTTGATATTTGTTGCATTGTGGATCTAAAAATTAGAAATCGGAAATCAAGGTTTCAGAAGAGCTATGCTCCTCCTGGTAGCCTTAGAGAAGAGTCCTCCCAGCTTCTGATGGTTCCCACTATCCTTGGCCATCCTTGGCCATCCTCAGCCATCCTTTCTGTGCATATGCACTAGGTCCATCTCAGTCTCCATCATGTGGCCTCATCCCTCTCATCACATGGTCTTCCCTCCCTGGGGATCTGTCTCTGTGTCTTTTCTCTTCTAAGGACAGCAATTGTATTGGATTAAGAGCTGATCAACTCCTGCATATCCTCCTCCTTACTTATATCTTATACATCTACAAAGACTCTATATCAAAACGGAGCCCACACAGGAACTGGAGACAGGATAGCCCAGAGACCTACAGTAGAACCAAATACAACTGGCCTAAAGAAAAACTAAAAATCAATGAAATGATTCCTAATGATATTTTGCTATACTCATAGATCTGTGCCTTGTCCAGTCATCATCAGAGATGGGAGAAGATGAGAGCAGTTCAGAGACCCACAGCCAGACATTATGTGGAAGGAGAGTCTAAATTGAAGGTTTCCATCAGGTCCCTCCCCTTGGAGCTCAGAGAATCCCAAAGAAAAGGGAGTGGAAAGATTGTGGGAGTCAGAGGGAGCGGAGGATACCTGGAGAACATGGCCCACCAAATCTACTAAGCTGGACTCACAGGGGCTCGTAGAGACTGAAGTGGCAAGCATGGGCATGAATGGGTCTGCACCAGGTCCTCTGTGTTTATGTTGTGGCTGTCAGCTTGATGTCTTTGTGGGGCGCCTAACTGTGGGAGCGGGTACGTCTTTGACTCTTTGCCTGCTCCTGGGACTCTTTTCCTCCTGTTGGGTTGCCTTGTCCAGCCTTGGTGTGAGGGCTTTGCCTTGTCTTCTTGTATTTTATTGTGTTGTGTTCGGATGTTTGAGTGTTGTCTCTCAGAAGCCTGCTCTTTTCTGAAAGGAGATGAAGGGAGAGTGGATCTGGAGGAGAAGGAAGGTGGGAGGAGCTGGGAGGAGTGGAGGGAGGGGAAACTGTGGTTGGGATGTATTGTATGAAAGAAGAATCTATTAAAAAAAAAAAAAACTAGCTAACTAACCAAAAACCCTAAGGCCGTAGCTATAGGTAAAAGGAGTTGAGGCTTCAGAATATCTTTTAGGGGGACACAATTCAGCTAACCACAGGAATCAAATGATTATTAGGTTACTAAGTCAGTTATTTTGTTTATGTGTGTGTATGTACATGTAATATATTTACCTATGATTTATATGTGTTTTATATGTGCAAACACAAATATCTATCTACAACTGTAATATTCACACAAAAAATCTGCATATAACTATAATATTTATTTAAATACCTATATCAATGTCTATGATTTATATTTATAAAGTACCATGGCATAAATATATGTTATATTAATAACAGTACACATTATGTATACAACACACATATAAAATATGTTGTATAAACATCATAGGACATATTTAATCAGAAGTATACGATGCTATATAAATATATGTGTGATAATATAAGTACAAATCACAAAAGCAATTCTGACTAATAACAAATTTTAGTACTCAAAGGAAGATGGTAGAATTTTCTCTGTGGTTTTCATGTTGAAGAGATGGTGAGAGGGGTCTGTCTTTGCCACAGACCCAAGGGCTGGACCTCAGAAGAGGTCTCCAGCATTAGGCAGAGTCCCTGCTTGCCTGCCTAGGCATCTCCTATACCATGGAGTAGCCATCTTCTCTGCCTTACTCTGTGTGTGTGTGTGTGTGTGTGTGTGTGTGTGTGTGTGTGTGTGTAGGTGAGAGGACACCCTGAATGTTGTTCCTTGGAAGTCTGTTTTTGTTTGTTCGTTTTTTTAAGGGTCTCTCACGGGCCTGGAATTTGAGAGGTAAACTAGGCTGGCCAACCAGCATGTCCTAGGGAGGGATCCATCTGCTTCTGTCTCCCCAGTGTTGGGATTATAAGCACATGCCACCACACCCAGCTTTTTTTCCCCCTAATTATTTTTATTTTATGTGTATGAATGTTTTGCCTGCGTGTGTATCTGTGCACCATGGGTGTGCCTGGTGCCCGTGGATGCCAGAAAGGATGTTGGATTCCCTAGGACTGGAGTTATAGACAGGAGGCCCCATGTGGGTGCTGGAATCAAACCCAGGTCTTCTGGAAGAGCAGCCGCTGCTCTTACTTACTGAGCCGTATCTACAGGCCCCAACTTTTTTTTTTTTTAACATTAACATGGTTTTTGTGGATTAAATTTAGGACCTCACATTTGCAAGGCGAGCATTTACTCCAGACCCCAGTTTTGTTTTGTTTGGTGGTGGTGGGGGGGGGGTGGGTGAGGAGTTTTTGTATTGTTTTGCTTTAGTTTTCATTTTTGTGTTTTTGAGACAGAAGCCTCATTCTATAGTTCAGACGGGCCTGGAACTCACCGTACAGACCAGGCTTTTCTTTAACAGAAGGCGGTTCTCATGCCTCAGCCTCCCAAAGGGTTATAGGTATGAATCACCAAGCTCAGCTTCCTGCTTTCTTTAGGATGAGAAATCCTAGTCCCAGAATTCGGAGAGTCTTGTCCAAGTCCAGAGGCCACAAGCAACTCTTGGTGAGGAAGTCATGCTTCTGCTCAGCCAGTAAGGCTCTGTCCACTCAAGCTACTCCCTCCCAGCTCCTCCTTGCTTCATTTTTCCAGTTAATAATCAGATTTTGCTCCCAGTTACTCCGCCAAGCAGATGTTCTAGGCAATCACAAAAAGAACAGTAGTTTCCCTTCAGATGAGCTGAGCCATGACTTCTCACGGAGGCCCTGCTGCTGGTCAAGGTTAAAGCACTTTGTGGCCAGTTGTTTTGGAGTTATTGGGAGAGGTGGGGGGGAAAAAATCTTTCACTTTCCAATTTGAAGGGTTTTGTTTGTTTTGTTCGCTCAACTCCAAGCTGGCGGACCTAAAACTTAACTTCGTTTTCTGCATATAATAGGCTGCGTGGGATATCTTCCAATGATGAATCTGGGGACTCTGAAGTGAACTTTGGAAACCGAAATGGATCCCAACACACACACAACAATCCTCCCTCTCTCTCTCTCTCTCTCTCTCTCTCTCTCTCTCTCTCTCTCTCTCTCTCTCTCCTGTTGCCATCATCCACGTACCTGGGTCTTCACCATTCTCTCCATCTTGTGGGGACACTTGACTTCCTACCTGGATGCCTCTGCCTGTTTCTTTCTCCATCCTGCTTGCTGGGAACTCCTATAGAAGACAAAAGAGATTCTGCGTCCCAGCAGGAAATGGACCAGCTTCCTGGATGCTTGAAATAGACTCTGGAGGCCTTGCTTGGAACCTTTTCTGGAGAGTATTCTTGCCAGGGCCTTTGGAACGGTATGGAGGGTTCCATACCGTTGACAGAAATATTGCCCAGCCTCCTACATCTTTCTCTGATGCTCTCACACTCCTTCGTCCCTGCCTCCCTGCCATAGAACACCAGTGTTGGTGCCCTAAATCTCAGTGAATTCTTACAGCACTCACTCCTACAGCCTCGAAGCCACCAGAGGGTAGCTGGTGTCCAAATGACGACTCTGGCTTGGCATCAGCATATCAGAATCACTTGAAGAGACGCCCCCAAATACAGACAACCTGTTCCACTGCTTATGGAGGCTTCTGGCAGAACCTGAGAATCTGTATTCATAAAGCAGCTAAAAGGATTTTTATGTGGGTTGTCTAGAGGAAACAAAACAAAACAGGACTTAGATAGGCCATGCTTACACAGGCCTCAACTCCGCAAAGCCTGCCCAGGGCACTTAGAGGAAATACGTAGGAGGCAGCAAAAGCTAGAAACGTGCAGATACAGGCTAAGATACAAATAAAAACAGACAGGCCAGGGGTGGGGTGTGGGCAGGAGGGAGGGCTCACAAGGAGACTCCCGGGGTGTCTGTTCAGCAAACCGAGGTGATGGGCTCCAGGTGGACACACTAACTGATGCCTAAGCATTCTGTTACAGCTAGGAGAGTCTTCCTGAGGGTGTGGGAGAGCCACAGAGAGCAAACCACCCAGCACAAATGTCTTCACCCTGAGGCGGGAACTCCTGCCCTCTGTCAGAGGCAGCACGTACTGAATACAAACACTGCTTTTGGCATACCACAGCACTAGGCTTAGCTCCCAACTTTACGGGTCTCTCTGGGTGTGTGTGAGCAAGCTATATATTTGCTCTGTGCCTCAGTGTCCTCACCTGGAAAAGGAGGATGACACACTACAGAGGGTTCTTACCAGGGTTGCATTTAGTAGTATGTGCAAAGCATCCACCCTAACCTGGTGGACCGAGGCCCCTTGCACATAAGCTATGGTCCTAGTTATCATGGATGCTCCCATCCTCCTCACAGACCCATTCTAAAGCTGTCCTTGTGCAATTTAAGCACACAAAGAATTTGGTTAAACCATAAATGTCCTCATCCCCTGCTCCCAGAAGGCTTTTGGCTTTCTGTCTCTCTTTCTTTCTCTGTCTGTTTGTCTCTCCGTCTATCACTGTCTCTCTGTCTGACTTTCACTGTGTGTCTCTCTCTGAGTCTCTCTGAGTCTCTCTGTGTCTCTCTGTCTCTCTGTCTCTGTCTCTCTCTTTCTGTCTCTCTCTCCCTCCCTTCCTCCTCTGCAGGCCCTTGTCAGCCTGCAGTTTAGAACAGGCAAGGCTTCTGCAGGCATCGTCCTGGTCATTCTTACTCTCCCAGTGACCCCTCCTTGTGGACATTTGTGTCACTCCAGGGACACAGAGAGAGTTGCTCAACAGATGGGAGCCAGACCTTTGCAAATGAAAACTCCCCTTTTAAACTCCAAAGCTCTGTCCCAGGAAGGCTATGAGGCTCTGTGATCTACAAGGTGAGACAGGGAGTTTGAAGGTTGGAATCAAAGGCTTCTGGACAGATGGGAAAAGAGAAATGTAGGCCTGCAGATACCCAGACAGCATCTAGTTAATCCTGCCTTTTCCAAGCCCACTGTGGGGCTTTATGAGAGTCTCAGCTTCTGAATACTTATGCCTCAGTTTCTCCTGCAGGTACATTGTGGCACATGGCGAACTTAACTCCTTTTCCATGCTATATAATGTCAAGAGCAATAATGCATTATTATTGTTGTTGTTATTGTTATTATTATTATTATTATTATTATTATTATTGCTGATTCTCTATTCTGTTTAATCTTTAACTTTTTTTTGGTACAGGATCTTGCTATATAGCCCAGGTTGGATTGAAAGTCATAACCCTCCGGCCTCAGCCACCCAAGTATTGAGATTACGGTCATGAGTCATCATTCCCAATTCTGGTTTTCTCCTCTGACCACCAGCTGTGAGTAGCTGGCCAGTAAGAGTTGCCATTGCTCAGTTGGAGAAGTAACTGGGCGAGTTCAGGGGTCTGCACAAAGGCTGACCACCTGAATTTGACTCACGGGGACCCATGGCGTGGAAGGAGAGAACTGGCTCCTGTCAGCGGTCTTCTGACCTTTTCGTGTGTTCTGTATCCCATGTGTACCCACACATACGCAGATGACTCATTAAAAAGGTAATTAAAATTAAACAAGAGTTGTTGCTATTCTATAATGAAAAGATCTTGACTGATCAACGCCACCCGCACACGGGTCACCCCATGCTTTCCTCAACAGTGCATCTCTGAAAGATGTCCTGTTAGTGACCCGGGGCTCTTTTGTGCTCTGCTGGAGAAGGCTACAGATACCACAGGCAAGGTTCCAAGGAGACAAGAAAAGGCCAGCATCCTGGAAGGCAGCAACTGAGAAGCCCTTGGACATCTTCTGCATGGAACCCATTGCCAGCACATCCATATGCTGTCTCACTATGGAGGAAGAACCTTCCCCATGTTCTACGGAAGGTCTTGGCTCCTGCCAATCCCTCCAAGGTTCACTGCTGGGAACAGCATGAGTGACACCTCTCAGCCTGGCTGCCTCACTGGCTGAGGAGCCTTTGTGTGCCTTGCTCACTCTGCTGGGGTCAGGGAGGGCTTCCCAGTTGACTCGGTGAAGGAGAAGACTTGTTTATTTGCCCAGCTGCAAGGTCTGCCAAGCACAGGGCCGAGCTGGGCAGTTCAGTGCCCTGGTCTCTCACTCCCACACTGGTACCTGCAGAAATCAGTGACCAGCCCCTGCCAGCCAGGCCAGACTGAATCTGCAGCAAGCTGGCCTGTCTCGCCCTCAGCACAGACTCCTACCTCCCTGCCAGTTCAGCGAGCCAGGCCGGCCTAGTGACACTCCTGGGCCGGGTTTCTTTCTTTCTTCCTTAAGTCCAGAGCCCAGTTATTTACCCAAAGAAAACAGGGAAGTGACAAGGTAACAGAGTACACATGTTGTGAAAATATGCAGGCTGGGACTGAAGAAAAGAAAACATTCTTCCATAAGTAGCTGCCTTGTTAATTCATTTTTTTCCCCTCCAGATTAGAACCAGCCCTTGCTTGCGCTCCTTCAAGTACCTTCTGTGGTTTCCTGACAGCTGCCTACAAGGGGCGAGATTTGGCTTGAAAAATGGGCCATCGGTCATGCTTTGGGTGGGGTGGAGGAGGGGAGGGCCGAAAACTTAAAATTCCCAGATTGCTCAGATTCACTGCTCCCTCTCTAGACTGGACAAAGGAGCCGAGAAGCGGTGTGGAGAGGCGACTGTATAAATGTCTGGGCATAACCTGATTTTCCACAAGAAGCCACAGCTCAGTAATGAACAGTCTTTTCAACTCCTCTTGAAGTTGGTTTCCGATCCCTGGCAAATCTGGGCTCTGCAGCCTTGAGTAACGGCCACGGGCTGATTCTCCACAATTAAAAATAATATTGGCCCTGATAGAGAACTCTTGGGCACCCCCCTCCCTCACACACCCTTTTCATTATGTGCCAAAAATCACTTTTCCCAAACCTGTTTCAGAACAGCTGGCCGCGTTGGAGGAGCAGGCTCAGCACTCGTGGCCTGGAGAGAGGCCCTGGTTATTAATAGCATTTGCTCTGCCTAGTGTTTGGGGCAAGATGAGGGTGACCTGTGTCTGTTTAGAAAGTCAGGCCCTAATCGGTTTGGGGCCTTCTCTTCCTTCTCTGGACTCTCTAAACCAAGCCCTACAGATAGTGGCTGAGAAAGCCTGCAGGGGGCCTGGCTAGGGCCAGATATCCTCCGCTATCAATCTTCGGACTTCTCACTTTTTCCTGCATCAATGTTGTCCGTCTTTCAGCCTGTGGGTATTGGCCCAACGGCTGGCCAGGTTCCTGTCAGGGGAGGTCATACCGCAGAGGTCTGGATGGCCCCTGCTAGCACTTTCTGGTAACAGAGCCTACTGAAGCCTGGTTTTGCAGCTCAGGCCTTGCAAAACACAGTGGGATCTAATCCTCCCTCCTAAAGGCTGATGGGGCGGGGGGGGGGGGGGGGGGGGGGGGGGGGGGGGGGGCGGCGTGGGCTGGGGAAGCATCTCCACCCCTTACAGCCAGAGTTAGTCAGCTTCCCACGGTCAGCATCGAGCAGCCTTAACCTCAGAATGGGTGGAAATCCCACTGTCTCCCCACATGACTGACCACAACCACCACAGAGCTCCTACCCGAGATCCCAGGATGGGGCTGGATTTCAGGCCTGGAATGGTCTTGATTGTCAGGTTGGGTTGCAGCTGAAGTGGAAAACCTTGAGACCAGGGCAGATTATGGGTCTGAGAATAAGCTCTCTCTTCCAGGAGGATATTTCCCAAGGTGGGTAGAAGTCATATCCAATCAGAAACTTTGTGCTCTCTTGGTTGAGAGACTTCAGAACACCAGTATGAAAGCCCGGTCACCCACCTTTGCATGTATGCTTCCCATGGCCGCTGGCTCCAACAGGGAACGCACAGCCTCTCCCACACTGGGCCAGACGCCAGTCTCTGGCCACAGGTGAAAGACTATTTCCGGTGATTGTTTTCAGATATTTTATATCCAGTGTGTGAAAATGTAATAGTGGCCGGAAGAATACACACACGCACACACACCCCTCCACAAAAGGTGGTCCCATCCTTCTCTAGAAAGGTCAGAGGACCCCTTCCTCATCAAAGTCCTTGATGTGGATCCAAGGGAAGCTGTTTCTTTGAAGTCAGCAAAGACCACAGCTGGCCCAGCTGTGAAGGTGTGGCCAGGGAGTCAGACAGGATGCGCTGCCTTATCAGGGGCCAATGCAATTCCCTCCTGTAAGGACCATGCTTCCCCTGGCAAAAGGTGACTTCAGAGCCATTTGTTCAGAAGTCTAAGGAAGACTCATTATAACCCAGGGAGCCCAGTGATCTTGTTCTGTCCAGGCCTTTCTGGTGGGGAGTTTCTGCGCCACTCTCGAGAGTAAACCTCACTCCTCCAACTCCAGGCAAATCTTGCCCTTGAACTATGCCCTTTATTTTCTCATAAATCTTTAAAATGCCTGTAATTTAACACATGATGGCAAACAAAAAGGCCGGGGGTTGGGGGTGGTGAAGACTCAGAGGACAATGCCAATCCATTTTCAAAATCAGATACGGGGCTCCTGTGATTGTGTGCATGAGGGTGGGACTCAGCTTTCTCCTCCTCTTCAGCCCTCTACCTCCTAAGAGTAGGATCTGAGAGACCTTCGGGGCCTTGGTCATGAAATCCAACTTCCAGGGGTTGGAGGCTCACTGCTCTATAAACATCTGGGCTGTGGTTGGAAAATCTGTACCTTCAGCAAGTTCTTCTTCACACTAAGGTGGAATCCGCCGCTCTGGTTGCTCCACTGACTCAGCCCTGCAGTAGTTCTCACGAGCAGCAGTATGGCGGGTTCCAATCACAGGGAGAGCAGGCGCATCGAGAGAGCAGCCTCTCCCTTCTGATCCCACTGCTGTTTACCTCTCAACCCACTGGTTGGTGTCTTGCATACATGTTGAATGGATTAATTCATGCTTCCACCCTATGTGTTTTCATGATGGTTTAACATGCCTGTGTCAGTATTATCTCTTAGAATATTACCAAAAGCCAGGTGTGGTGTGCATGCTTTTAATCTCAGCACTCAGGATGCAGAAACAGGAAGACCTCTGTGAATTAGAACTCAGCCAGGTCTCCATAGTGATACCCTGTCTTAAAACAATTTATTTATTTATTTTTTATGTTATAAAAATTGCTTAAAAGCCCCAAGCTATAGGGCCTGGGAGATGGCTCCGTGGGTAAGAACCCTTTGAAGACCTGTGTTTGAATCTTCAATATTAGCATTAAAATCTGGGTGTGGCCACATGCCTGTGACTCCAGCACTTCAGAGAACAGAGACAGAGGCATCAATGGGGATCCAGGTAGGGGCTCGAGCAGGAACATGCACACACACACACACACACACACACACACACACACACACACACACACAAACACACACACACACACAAATACATATAAACAGGGAGTGAGCCTGGGTCTCTTCCCTCTGGGGGCGTCAGCCACGCTCACCCTCTTCTAGTACCACCTTGGGTACAAGTCACTGTTGCTGATAGAAGTTCTTGCTTCTTTTTCAACGTATGTTTCTCATTAGTATCCCCAATCACCTCATACTTTCTCCATATTTGTTTTTTGTTTTTCGAGACAGGGTTTCTCCTTGTAGTTTTGGTACCTGTCCTGGACCTAGCTCTGTAGCCCAGGCTGGCCTCGAACTCACAGAGATCCGCCTGGCTCTGCCTCCTGAGTGCTGGGATTAAAGGCGTGCGCCGCCGCCACCGCCGCCGCCGCCACCGCCGCCGCCACCACCCGGCATACTTTCTCCATATTTTAATAAACTATTTTTTTAAGAGACTTTTTAGACTCACAGTAAAATTGAACATCAAATAAAGAATTCCCACGCTCCATGTTCTGGTACACTATATCAACATCGGCCACCAAAGTGGTACAATTTTTTTTTACAATCACTGAGTCTCCATTGGCCCAGCCTTGTCACTTGACATCCACGGTTTACATGGACTTGAAGTTGTACATTCTGTGGATTTGGACAACGTGTAAGGATCTGTATTCTCCTTTACAGTATCATACAGAGTAGTTTCACTGCCCTAAAAAGTCTCCGCGTTCTGCATACTTTTTTTTTTTTCACCATTTCCATTGTCAACATCATGGATAGTTCAAGCTCTGCCTCCCTCACGGTGCGTGCCTCTTCCCATGGCTGTCGTCCACACACCTCTCTATAAGATTCCTGACACATCAACAAGCAGGACATGCTGGAGGTATGCCATTGCTGTGTCTTCTGTGTTGGCTTTGATCCTTGGATTCCACCATTGTGCTTGGCCTTTGATAGGCATTCCATAAGTAGAGCTGTGATGTGGCTTTGCTCCAGGGGTCCTGTTTACGTGATGTGAATGAAGTTATGCAATGTGATAGGCTTTGGTGATTGAATAAAACCCAATCCAGGAACTGGAAACAAAATAGTAATAATAATAATAATAATATAATAAAAATCACATTGACAATGATCAGTTCAGTTCTTTGGGCAATTGTTCAACAGCTAACACCAGTGACATCAAGATGGACAAAGTGGTTGACCCCATACTCTAAGACACCATAGTCTTGTGTGGGTAAACAGAGAGCTGAGGACTTGAGTTCAGAGCCCCAGCACCCACATAAAAGCCAACATGGTGGATAGGGACAGAGACAGAGACTGGTGGATCCCCAGAACCCTCTAAACAGCCAGTCCAGTCAACCAGTGAAGACTGGGTTCAGTGAAAGACCCTATTTCAAAAAAAAAAACAAAAACAAAAACAAAAAAACCAAAGCAGTGAATGAGAGAGAAAAACACCTGATATTGACCTCGGCTTTCTACACGCACTCACACGCATACCACACACACAACATACACACAAAGATTGAGATCTTTAAATTGTTTAGGTAAACAGATCATCACAACACAGTGAAAAATACTAAGACATGGATATGTATGACAGCTGTAGCACTTGACATTTAGCTGAAGGAAGGGATCAGTAGGAACTGGTGAGAAGGTGGAGAATATTCCAGCGAGAAGGTTTGGTACCGGCAAAATGAAAGTAGAGTTGTAAGTGATACAGTTTATTTTCTGATGCTAAAAAATGAGAAATCCAATATTAAAAGACTGCTTGCTAGCCTCCAGTAAACCTATAGCAGATCATTGACACAGCAAGATGGGGTGTGTACCTTCAAGCACTGTTTCTGGAAGTGGTAACCCATCCTCACAGCCGTTCCTTCCTCTTCAGAGAGCTAGACCGTGTGTTGTTCTCACATAGAAATACTCTGTGTGTCTTTGTTCCCAGCCGAGTGAGCATTCCAGGACTAGAGCTGGGTCTCTCTAGTGCCCTCGTTGGAATGGGCAACCATTCTCCACAGACTCTTTGAAACTTTAGTAGTTGGAAGCTTACCTTATAAAGTAATAATTCTCATTCTTATTCTTCTAAATTTCTTCTTTCTCCAGCACCCCCCCCCCTTTTCTTCTTCTTCTTTTTTTATCTTCTGATATTCTGGATATTTAAGTGTGGTTAATTGCAGGGGTGGGGGTGTGTGTAGTGTGAGCAAAATAGTTATTTCCTACCCCCTCCCCATGACTTCCTTTCCCTAACCCAGCTGCCAGGTATTGGCTGCCATGTTGGAACTTGGATGCAGCTGGGTCTCTGCAACGCACGGCCCCATCCCAGAGTGTACAAACAGTGCTTGGGTCTGACTGGATAAGAGGGTGGAGGTCCAGTGTTGTGGTTCTGGGCACCTTTCATTTCCCTTCTGTTTCCCTTCTGCGTCATCAGCTGGAGCATGTTTAAGACTCCGGGAGCATGCCTTTGTTTCACCTGGGAAAGTCCCTGCAGGGAGAGCTAAGATCTCCCAGAGGAAGGGGCTGGAACCCTGACCTCTGTCACCCGAATTGTTTGGGCCACGAAGCCCCCATAGGGGTGAGGAGGGTGATCAATTGGCAACCTGAAGAGTAAAGACCTCTCTCTCTCTTCTCCTCTCTGCTCATTGTGCTTGGGAGGGCAGCGGGGTCAGCGGCAGCAAACTGAAGGGCCAACCGGCTGTGCCTTGAAAGGGGTTCGTTTTGTGTTTCGGTAATGAGCGCTCTTTCTCCCCCTCGGATGCACTCAGATTTCACAAGTTACGGGGAACCTGTCAACTGCTGTTTTTATTGTATGAGGCTCACAGGGAACTTGGATATGGGGCGAGCGTGTTTCAAAGAGAGCAGGGAAAGAAAAGTCCTGAATAGCAGCAATGTGCTCTCATATGCAGATCACAGCTCTAGTTGCCATGGGACACCTCTGCCAGCCGAGAGGGCAAGATGCCGAACGTCCCTTATTGACGCGATTGCCTCCTTGGAGATGGGAATGCCACCGCTGAAAGGATTGCCAGCAGCCTCTGATGGAGCCTGGCCTGCCAGCATCCTGAATCCTAGCAGCCTCTGCCCCCCACTGGCTGTTTCCTAGGAAGCCCCCTCACCCATTCTGAGGAAACAAGCCAAGCTAACCCTGGAGAAGGGAGGGGGCAGGTAGAAAGGATCCCTGGGTGTGGGGTTCTAGGCCTGTGCTCACAGGACTGCTGGAACCGTGGCTGAGAACCAGAGTCCCGATGTTCAAGTCAAGTTTCACCTTCCTTGTTTGTCCTGCCCTCTGAGAACACTTGGCAATAACATTCCTTTCCTGACAGGTTCATTTTGTAGCCCATAGACATTGTTTTCTTTCCCTTGTTTACCTAAAGTGGCCCAGAGCAATAGGGCAGGCTGTGCCAATGAGAAAGGAGAGCCTGCCCTAGTGGCTGTTGGGTCATCACACCCAGGTCCCTCTGCCCTGGAGTTCCTTGTCCTGACTCTGCTGCCCCACAGGTGAGAACAGCAAGTTTCCAGAGAGTGTCCTGCTTGGAGCAGAGCACAGACGAGGTGGACCTGTGAAGAGGCCGGGATTAGCAGAGGGCTCAGAATGAAGACTTCAAGGGGTCCCTTGGCATGGGGCAGGCAGGTCCCTCAAGGTATCAGGAAACTATTCTTGTCACCTTGTGTAAGGTAGGCCAGTGGAACCACAGACTGGAAGGATCTAGAAGTCATGAGTAACCTAAAAAAAAAAATGCCAAGGTAGGGGACTATGACAAATATGTCTCCAATAATCCCTCACTACACTACACACTGTATTTAAAGGAATAGAGTATGGTCAGGCTGTCCTCAGAGTCAAAGTTGGGGGCTGTGGGCGATCCAGGCCGTG